GTGTGTGTGTGTGTGTGTGTGTGTGAGAGAGAGAGAGGGAGAGACAGGGTCACATCACAGTAGAGTCAGCTGTCTTAACCGTGGCTTGTGTACTGCAAACACATACCAGCTTCATCACTGTGTCTGTCACGTGACTCTGTTGCCCTTTCGGGCTTGAACTGATGGTAAAACTAATGACATTATTTACTGTCTTTACATTTATTTTGAAAGATGAAGCTCGCGATTATGGTAAGGGGCGTTACATTTCCGATGCGTGCTTGTGGTGTTCGGCCAATCACAATGCACTGGGTCAGTTGGCCAATCAGAGCAGACTGCGCTTGTCAAAGGAGGGGGCTTTGTTGAAAACGAAGCGTTTGAGAGAGGCGGGGCATAGAGGACCTACAATAATGTACAGTATTTTAAAAATAATGTGTTTTTTGAACATTAAAGCATGTCAACATATTCTGTTACACCAAATACACAAAATAATGATCTTTAAAATAGCATCATATGACCCCTTTAACATGAACTTTAACATGTTTAGTGCTAATATCAGGTCCTTCTTTGCTATGAGATTTCCTGAACATGCACAGTTATGCTTTCCGTTAGTCGCGGATCATGATCCACGCTCTGCTGAGAAATCTTTCAGTCAACTTCTTATGTAATATTAATATAACAAGTCGCATGCATGAAATGTAGTTCCCGAGGCTCTTCCATCTACTGTTGGAACATGCAGCTGTATATATGACTCATCCTCATTAGTTAGGTCAACACATTCCCCATTGACTAATAAAGTTCCCAGTATTGATTCCCTCTCAAGCACACACACACAGATTGAGCAAGCGCAGAGATAATGTGTTTCTGAAAGGCGAGACGGTCACACACACAACAGATGAAGGACATATGAGTCCATATGGCTCAACTGAAGAATTTATTGCTTTTTAAAAGCACGTTGCTGTGGATTAAATCGATTGTTTTCTCAAACACTGTACACGCAGCTGAACTGAACACATGCACACTGTGACTAGATCACAGGCCTTTCCACAACTTTTGCTGTGATTGGATGTTTAAGTAGCTTTTTTTTGTATTGTTTTCAAAGGTATTTCCAAAGAGATTGGTGTCGTTCTCCACTTGGATTGATCACACGCGCTGGGCTCGCAACACTTGGGCCATGGCGGCCATCTTCATAGTCACAATGGCTGACATAGTAGATATGGTAAGAAACCAGTGAACGAGGTAGACAAAGTAATAACCCACTTTATAATCATTAACATTTTCATAATTAACTGTAATTTAATTACACAAACTGTAACGGATTACAGTTACATTTATTTTGTAATTAAATTACGTAATGCTGTTACATGTAACTAGTTACTCGCCAACACTGATAATAATCAGAAATGTTTCTTGAGCAGCAAATCAGTATATTAGAATGATTTCTGAAGATCATGTGACACTGAAGACTGGAGTAATGATGCTGAAAATTCAGCTTTACATCGCAGCAGTCAATTATATTTGACAATATATTACAAAAGAAAACACTTATTTTAAATCATAATATGTGACCCTGGAGCACAAAAGCAGTCTTAAGTCGCTGGGGTATATTTG